TATATTAGGCCCCAGCTGGAGTATCATGTCTAGTTCTGGGTGCCTCATTTCAGGAAACGTGGAGAAACTGGAGAAAGTCCAAAGAAGATCAACACAAATGATGAAAGGTCTAGAGAACATGAGATATGAGGCAAGGCTGAAGAAATTGGCCTTATTTACCTTGGAAAAGAGAAGACCGAAAAGGGACGAGAGCAGCTTTCAAGTATCTATGGGTATGTCTACGCTAGTCCCCTAGTTCGAACAAGGGAGGCTAATGTAGGCATTTGAGCTTGCAAATGAAGCCCAGGATTTAAATATCCCGGGCTTCATTTGCATCTTCCTGGGTGCCGCCATTTTTAAATGTCCCTTAGTCCAAACTCCATGCCCGTGGCTACACGCAGCATGGGGTAGGTAGTTCGAAGTAGGATCTCTGATTTGAACTACCGTTACTCCTCATGGAATGAGGACATTAGGATGAGAACCCGGCCTCCCCACGTGGCTCCTGGCTGCTCTCGGTCTCCCTGCCTCCTTTTGCATTAGGTACGCAAACGAGGCATGGCTATATTCATCCCTGCGCCTCATTTGCATCTTTTCTTGAGCAACAACAATGCACAGTGTAGACATAGCCATTGGGTTTTGTCTTATTTGGTTTCCCTTTCCCCTGCTTCACTCCTCATTGGTGGGGAGGAGGCTGTTCTCTAGTCCTGGTGGTGGGAAGTCATCACAAAGAAATAGGAAAAGCAGATGCTCTGAGAGTGATCCCCACTGGGAAAGGACTTTCACTATTCCACCCTCCTGAATCTCAGTGCTGACTGGCTGAGCTGGGGAGGCCAGTCACAGGGAGGAGACTCAGGACTTTGTGATTCTCTTTAAGGCCCAACAAATGAGCCAGAACCCACCAACCAGCACAAGCAGGTGATTCCTCCTGTGGAGGCTAGGTTGTGCTTCAGTCTCACACTTCCCTGTTCTCCTGATTATCCAGATTTTTGACCCTCCTGAATCTCAGTGCTGACTGGCTGAGCTGGGGAGGCCAGTCACAGGGAGGAGACTCAGGACTTTGTGATTCTCTTTAAGGCCCAACAAATGAGCCAGAACCCACCAACCAGCACAAGCAGGTGATTCCTCCTGTGGAGGCTAGGTTGTGCTTCAGTCTCACACTTCCCTGTTCTCCTGATTATCCAGATTTTTGATGATCTGATCTGGCCCCATCTCAACTCAATGTGACCAATGGGGCTCTGTTGTGTAACAGCTAAAACAGCCAACTGTATTAATATCTTATTCTGTATAAGGGGTCTTTTGGCCCTTCACTAAAACTCACCATGGGGGTGGGGGAGGATTGGTTAAACAGCCCCTAGCCCAACAGGAAGGGGAAGGGTCAATAGGACAGTCTCCAGGGTGTAATGGGGAGAGGCCAATACTCCAGGTCAACTTGATTGACAGGGTAGGAAGGCTAATGAGAGCCTGGAGCAGGGAGGATCCTATTGCACACAAGCTGCAATTGCCAGGATCAGAGCAGGGCTGAGCTAGGGAGAAAGCAGACACTGCAGCTGAGCTGGGGAGCAAAGCTGGGCCAGCCAGAGAGAGGCAGAAAGCAGCAGGACAGGGCTAGGTACAAGGCTGCAGAAGCAGCCCAGACAGCTCACCTGTGCTGGGAGCAGGCTGCAGCAACTAGAGCAGGGAGAGAATCAATCCAGGGGGCTGGAGGCAGACCAGCATCAGTGCCATGGCAGAGTGGAGCTAGAGCAGTTCAGAGGCAAATGTGGTGAGTAGCTGGGGAGAGTGAGAGGGGTCCTTGTGCTCAGAGTCTGGGACAGAGAGCCCCACCAGTCCAGAGGCCTGGCAGGCCACACTTGGAGGGGATCATTACCCCTTGGGGGGAGGGGGAGCTAACACTGAGGAGAGTCCTACTACCTAGCCCCTGTGGCCACTGCTAGAGCAATTGTCTGTCCTGCAGCATAGCCGAACACTGGGAGGGAGGCCTGGGACACACGAGGAACAGACTGAACTTCCCTTACATTTCAGAGATGCATGGGTGTGATGTCCCCAAGCCACAGAACAGGGCTGTGTGTTTTCTTTTAGCCTCTCATTTTCCCTTATTTTCTTAATTGCTGATTAATAAATGGCCCTTGCTTTGAGCTGTAGGTCGCCATAGAATCATAGAACTGGAAGGGAATTGGGAACATCCTCATGGCAGGACCCAGCACCATCTATGCCATCCCTGACAGGTGAATGTCTAATCTCCTCTTAAATATCTCCAGTGATAGTGTCAAGGCTGTTCCCCACTCTGGCACTCTGAGTGCAGAAGATGGGGGCCCGCAAGAGACTTTAAAAATACCATGCCTCTATAGGCTTCTGCTTAAAAGCTCCCCAAGGTCACAGATTCCCTGGCCTTGGGAGCTAGGCTGCCACCACCAAGTGCAAACTCATTTTTTCTTGAACCCAGGAAGCAGCATTTGGAACTAATTCCAGAGGGGTACCCCAAGCTCTTCCACCACAAGAGACCTCGGGGAGAGGGGAGGGGAGAAAAGAAAACCTACAGTCTCCAATTGCCAAAAACGGAGAGGTCAGCTTACACACGCAGACCTCCTATTACCTTCCAGGACACAAGAATCAAAATCAACTTTAAAAAAGTTATTTTATTAACAAAACAAAAAGACATACTTGATTGCTAGATGTTTGAAAGTAACCAAGAAAAGAACAAATTACAAACACAGAGAAATTCATTCCTGGGATTGAGTTGGGAAAGGGGAGGGGAGAAAAGAAAACCTAGTCTCCGATTGCCAAAAACTGAGAGGTCAGCTTACACACACAGACCTCCTATTACCTTCCAGAACACAAGAATCAAAATCAACTTTAAAAAAGTTATTTTATTAACAAAACAAAAAGACATACTTGATTGCTAGATGTTTGAAAGTAACCAAGAAAAGAACAAATTACAAACACAGAGAAATTCATTCCTGGGATTGAGTTTATGGTTACAGTGCATGGGGGGGAGGGGGGAGACAGGGCGAGGCACATGGATTTAACACAGAGTTTAACCAAATAACAAAACAAAGCAAATAACCTATATATCTATCTACTTACATACCCGTGCTTCTAGGTCCAGTCCATTTCCATGCCTCGTATTCTTTATAGGCATGGTAGTTCTCCCTGGTTCAATTCATCTGGTTTCCCCAGCTCCTGGCTTAAAATTCACACACAGAAAAACAGCAGGCAGGTATCTTTTCCAATTCAAGTTCCAATTCACACCACTGTCAGAAGAGGGCGCTGTGATCCGATTGATCAAGCCATATCACAATACACATTTTGTTCTGTGAACGCTGAACTAAAGAGACTTCCATGGTACCTTAAACATACCTTTAGCAAGTTTTATTGCAAACAATTCAGGAGCAGTTTTAAAAGCCCTATATGTAGACACATTTAATACTAAGCAATTAAAACTGCATTAAAAGATATCAAAAGGCATCAAGCATTAAAAGCAATATTTAAATAGAATAATTAATCTAAATCTAATCCCTAACCCAATTTAACAGCCTAATTGTTAATTCAGCACACGCGCATACACACACACACACACACACACACTCCATTCATCCTTTGGGGCTGGCCAGACCCCAGGTAATGTTGATTAATTTGGTTGAGGCAGAAGTCCGACGCACATGTCACCCTAATATGATGAATTGATGGTTTCCAACTCGTGGGACAAAATGGTGTGGTATATAACCCCTCGGGGGAGGGGAAATCAGTCCATGTGGAATAATATCTATTGGTTACACAGTCCGGGTTGGGTGATGTCCATAAGTTGCAACCCCCCTCCCCCCACCACCTTCTGCAGATGTTCTCACAACTGATCTTGGAGCATCCTGCATACACCACCCAATTTTGCTTGCCTCACCACAAGTTATAAACAATAGAATGTCCTTGATTAGGTCTCTCCTTTGTTACCCCTTCTCTGGAACATTGCCTCCTTCTGTATTGTTTTGTCTCCTCAGCACACATAGTCTTTTCTTCTTACACAGTTCTCTTCTCAAAGTTGTAAACAAGTCCATAAACCTTTGGGGTTCTTGCTTGGACCTCAGCATGGCCTCGCTTCAGCTCATTTACTGTTAATTCACTCATACTACCCATGATTTGTGACACCATGTGTGACCAGCCTCCCAGCCCCAGCTTTTTAGAGCAGACCTAGCCCAGCTCTCTCCTGAAGCAAGAAGCCTTTAGCAAGGAACGGGGCTGTTAAACCCCTTGGCTTCCAGGAGTTGCACGCACAGGCTGGGCAGGGACACATATGCACATCTCCTGCCCCACACCCCAGGAGGAAGTCAGGGTACGTCTACACTACAACATTAATTCAAACTAACTTAGTTTGAATTAGTTAATTCGAACTAAGCTAATTCGAACTAATGGATCCAAACTAAAAAACTAGTTCGAATTAGCTACACACCCCTTAATTCGAACTAGCTAGTTCGAACTAGGCTTAATCCTCATAAAATGAGGGTTTCCTAGTTCGAACTAAGCGCTCCATTAGTTTGATTTAAATTCGAACTAACGGAGCGCTAGTGTAGTGCCTATGAAAGTTAGTTCGAACTAACGTCTGTTAGTTCGAACTAACTTTGTAGTGTAGACATACCCTTAGAGAGTTGCTGCAGCCTGCAGCTGCGTGTCTGAGGCTGGATACACAGCATGAGCTCCTGACTGCATGAGGGGGAGGGGTGAGCCTGAGCTCCCACCCCATATACCACAGGAATTCAGGTCGCATGCTGCTTGTGGCACATGTGCTGAGGACTGCCGACCCGTTAGTGGGTTTCTCCCTCGTGTGGATTCTCCAATGTCTAATAAGATTTGAGCTGCCCCCACCCCAGTCATTGCAACTGAAGGGTTTCTCTCTCGTGTATGTTCTCTTATTTTTTTACAAAGTCTGACCTGTGTTTGAAGCCTTTCCTACAATCAGAGTGGTGGCTCTCTTGTACGTATTATTTGTTGGATAGTAGGCAGGAGCACCAAATGAAGCTTTTCCCACAATCAGAGCGGATGAAGGGTTTCTCCTATGTGGGTTCTCTTATGCCTAACAAGATTTGAACGCAGACTGAAGCTTTTCTTACAGTCAGGGCAAGTGAACGGCTTTTCCCCTGTGTGGGTTCTCCAATGAGTAACAAGATGTGATCTCTGATTGAAGCTTTTCCCACAGACTGTGCAACTGAAGGGTTTCTCCCCTGTGTGGGTTCTCCTATGTGTCACAAGATCTGAACTTTGACGGTAGGTTTTCCCACAGTCAGAGCAAGTGAAGGGTTTCTCCCCTTTGTGGGTTCTCCTATGGGTAACAAGGTCTGAACTCTTACTGTAGCTTTTCCCACAGTCAGGGCAGTCAAAGGGTTTCTCTCCTTTGTGGCTTCTCTGATGTTTATTAAGGTGTGAGCGGCAACTGTATCTCTTCCCACAGTCAGAGCAGCTGAATGGTTTGTCCCCTGTGTGGGTTCTCGTGTGTCTAACAAGATTTGAGCGCAGACTGAAGCTTTTCCCACAGTCTGAGCAGCTGAAGGGTTTCTCTCCTGTGTGGGTTCTCCTATGTAAAATAAGTTGTGAACTCCTATCGAAGCTTTTCCCACAGTCAGAGCAGCTGAAGGGTTTCTCCCCTGTGTGGTCTCTCCTATGTTTAACAAGATCTGAGCTCTCTCTGAAGCTTTTCCCACAATCAGAGCAGACAAAAGCTTTTTCCTCTTGGTGGCTTCTCCAATGTACATTAAGGTGTGAGCGGCAACTGTATCTCTTCCCACAGTCAGAGCAGACAAAAGCTTTCTCCTCTTGGTGGCTTCTCCAATGTACATTAAGGTGTGAGCGGCAACTGTATCTCTTCCCACAGTCAGAGCAGCTGAATGGTTTGTCCCCTGTGTGGGTTCTCGTGTGTCTAACAAGATTTGAGCGCAGACTGAAGCTTTTCCCACAGTCTGAATATGTAAAATAAGTTGTGAACTCTTATTGAAGCTTTTCCCACAGTCAGAGCAGTTGAAGAGTTTCTCTCCTATGTGGTCTGTCTTATGTTTAACAAGGTCTAAGCTCTCATTTAAACTTTTACCGCAGTCAGGGCAGTCAAAGGGTTTCTCCATTTTGTGGCTTCTCCAATGTACATTAAGGTCTGAGCTGCAACTGTAACTTTTCCCACAGTCAGAGCAGATGTAGGGTTTTTCCCCTGTGTGGGTTCTCCTATGTCTAACAAGATTTGAGCGCAGACTGAAGCTTTTCCCACAATCTGAGCAGCTGAAGGGTTTCTCTCCTGTGTGGGTTCTACTATGTAAAATAAGTTGTGAACTCTTATTGAAGCTTTTCCCACAGTCAGAGCAGTTGAAGAGTTTCTCTCCTATGTGGTCTGTCTTATGTTTAACAAGGTCTAAGCTCTCATTTAAACTTTTACCGCAGTCAGGGCAGTCAAAGGGTTTCTCCATTTTGTGGCTTCTCCAATGTACATTAAGGTGTGAGCTGCAACTGTAGCTTTTCCCACAGTCAGAGCAGATGTAGGGTTTTTCCCCTGTGTGGGTTCTCGTATGTCTAACAAGATTTGAGCGCAGACTGAAGCTTTTCCCACAGTCTGAACAGTTGAATGGTTTCTCTCCTGTGTGGGTTCTCTTATGTATAACAAGTTTTGAACGCCTACTGAAGCTTTTCCCACAGTCAGAGCAGTTGAAGGGTTTCTCCTCTGTGTGAGCTCTCTTATGTTTAACAAGGTCTGAGTTCTCACTAAAGCTTTTCCCACAGTCAAGGCAGTCATAGGGTTTCTCCCCTTTGTGGCTTGTCCAATATGTATTAAGGTGTGAACTGCAACTGTAGCTTTTCCCACAGTCAGAGCAATGGAAAGGTGTCTCCTCCGTGTGGGTTCTCCTGTGTCTAACAAGATTTGAGTGTAGACTGAAGCTTTTCCCGCAGTCAGAGCAGCTGAAAGGTTTCTCTCCTGTGTGTGTTCTCCTATGGGTAATAAGGTGTGATCTCTGATAAAATCTTTTTGTGCAGTCAGAGCAGCTGAAGGGTTTCTCCCCTGTGTGGATTCTTCTGTGAATAACAAGGTATGACCTGCAATTGTAGCTTTTCCCGCAGTCAGAGCAGTTGAAAGGTTTCTTTACTGTGTGGGTTCTCCTATTTATAACAAGGGCTGAACTCTTATTGAAGGTTTTCCCACCATCAGAGTAGTTATGGGGTATCTCTATTGTATGTATTATCTGATGGTTAGTAAGGTATGAGCCCTGACTGAAGCTTTCCCCACAGTCAGAGTATTGGAAGTGCTTTTCTTCTGTGTGGGTTCTTTCATGTTCAATAAGAGTTGCACAGTCACTGCAAGTGGAGGATGGCTGTTGATGGGGGATTTTCTGTTCCAGAAACCACTGACTTCTTTTTTCCCCTCTGCTCTTGTGACTGAATTTATTATGTCCCTCTCCTGGATAATTTCCCTGCTGCCATTCACAGCTCTCACTCTGCTCAGAACTCTGGGAAACATATCCTTCAGATCTTCCTAGTAATAGCCCAAATGGAGCCACTTGCTCTGGTTCTTCTTGCTGAAGACTCTCCTCATTATTCTCACTCAGCATCCCATCACCTGTTGGGACAGAGAGAAAATCCAGGCAGGAGTCACTCTCAGTACTTAGCTAAAGGAAAACTCTGAAAATGGATTAGAAAAGGGGGAACACACCCAAATAATGGCTGGAAAGGTTTAATAATCATGAGCTGAGTTCATTCTCCTTTCTCAACTCCTCTCCAGAGGGGAGGACCCAGCCTTCCCCTCACCCTCTGGAGCTGAAGACAGGCTGAAGGTCTGTGTGGGTTCTCCTGTGTTCATTAGAGTTAATAAAAATATAGGAGAGACACCTACTATGAGGACACAGCAATTGGTTTCTGAGTCAGTTTAACTGATTGCTCACCTCAAGAGACACCTACTATGAGGACACAGAAATTTCTGAGTCAGTTTAGCTGATTTCTCACCTGTGTGGGTGTCGTTAATGATCTCCCCTTCCACATAGCCGTGGAGATCTGGGATCCACAGCTCCTCCCTTTGCTTCACCCAGGAGATCACATGAGTTTTGAAGACTGGAAATCCTGTATGGGGATCAATTAATCAAGTGCTGATCTTGTTTATTAAGGTCTGTGCCATTACTATTTCCAGAGCCAGAATCCGAGTTGCTCACCCAGAGAGGTTCCTTACCAACTTTGCAGAGACTGGGCTCTGGATGGTACAAGATCTCATGACACACTCACTTGCAGGAATGATGCATGACCTCTGCTTGACAAATTCCCCTGCTGATTCTCTGGGGGAGCCGAGCTCTCTGCTACACCTTGTAGGGTATACCTAAATCTCCCTCATAGCCCATTTCATCCCTCCATCCCAGGGCAGGAGAGGAATACACTGCTCAGAAGGGGAGCTCTAGTGAGGGCTTGCAGATCTGACACCCAAATCCACAGGCAGGGCTCATACTGCAGCAGCCACATGGGAGATAACAGGAATTTGGGAGAGGAAGGACCCCACAGAGTTCTAGCTCCCAAAGAGCTCTGTCCACAAAACTCCTGGCTGGAGGGCTTCACTCGCCCTGCTCTTTGGCTCAGATGCTCTACTTGAAACAGGAGGAGACAGAGGAAGTTGTTTGAGCAGCTAAGTGAATCCTCAGGTAGCTCTTTCAGACCTTGCCTAGGTTCCAGACTCCTGGCCCTGACTGCCTGTACCTGCATGGGCCCTGCCAGCTGCTCACAATAGCTGGTGGTCATGGCGGTGTTGGGCTGTGCTGCTTCTCCAGGGTGCTTGACTGCCTGGGTTCTACTCTGCCAGCAGCAGCAGCCTCTTTGTTTTCCCCAACCTCCTTCTCATGGCCAGCCTGGCCTACCATTAGTTCCCTGCTCACAAGCACAGAATCTACCATTTGCTTTTTCCTGTCCTGAGAGCACATTCCTCACACCTTCAGCCAGACCCATTCTCCCAACCTGATTTAGTGCTGGGAAGATCCACCTGTGACGTTATAGGATTAAAACATGACCACGTAGGTCACTGTGGTACATTGCAACAAACCTCATGCAAAGTGGTACGAATGGGAACATTCTGATGTGGTGACTGATTATCCTGTTGGTAAGGGGACATCATTTTTCTGACTCACATTATGAATATGGATCTGTATTTCAGATATGGCGGCTGCTGTGGAAACCTGTATTTCAGATATGGTGGCTGCTGTGGAAACACCCACAATGTAGTTTCCATCCAATCCACCCAGCACACAGTGAGTGAAGCATTCAGATTGATGGTCCAGCAACAAAACCCATGGGCCATGGAAATCTCATCCCTATTGGCAGGGCTTGACAAATGGCGGCAAAATCTACTTGCCAGCCCTGCACCGCGCATGACCCGCATTGCGCATGCGTGCGCCTCCGGTGACGGGGTGACCAACTGAAACCTACTTGCCATGGGCGAGTAGGGAAAACGCTCTGGAAGACACGGTGCACGTGGTGTGCACACCTAATTCGAACAGACATGAGCAACCACTCGAAGAAGAAACCTACTTGCCATGGGCGAGTAGAAACAGCGATTTGTCGAGCCCTGCCCACTGGACAGACTTTTCCATGGATCTTTCAGACAGATGGTGGATGACACCTGCCAGGGCTCATCACAGCAGGCAAGGAAATGTGACGCTAACTTCATCTGGCCCCTGTGCTTTTCAGCTTGCAGTGTTAGGGGTTTTGTTTGGAACAATGAGTCCCCTCCACCTATGCTCCCTGTAAGCTACACACATGTGTGGCCATGAAGGAGAGAGTCACACACTGCCCAGCTGATCAGTAGAGTGTGAACAGCTGGCAGCATGTGCATAGGAGCCCTTCCCCCGCCTTGCCCTTTCCTGCAGCTGCTCCCTCCTGCGGGGGGTTGCTGACGTCAGAGTGGCCCCTACCTCTGTACCCCAACTCCACAAAACAGGGCAAAGGGGACACAGCCTGGCTCAGGAGAAGTCCGAGCTGCTGCAGTCTGAACAGTGACGGCTGGCCTTTCCTATAGATGAGTGCTCTGCTTGTGGGATGTCCCCAGCAACCAGGTCACACAATCTGTCTGTCACAACCACACATTCTGAGCCTCACACAAACACGCTCCCCCTTCCCCTGCTTATATATCCCATCTGCACTGAGCAGGGGAGAGGAGACTACAGGGCTCAGGGACAGGGCAGGATAGCTTGCAGTGTCTTAAAGAGACAGCCCATGGGATTTCTCAGTAGGAGCTTGCCATGAACTCACCAGAGGGTCTAATGAGCCAGTACCATTGTCGAGGTGGGACATGTCTTGCTGTACCTGTGCCAGGGAGCTGGGACACTACTATCCTGCTCCTTCACCAATAAACCTGGCCAAGCACCTTAGCCCCTGTGTCTTTCTTTAGCAACAACCCTGATGCTAAAGGTGACTAAAGCCAACAGGTAAGTGAAAAACATGAAGACCTGGGAATCCAACAGGTAAGTGAAAAACACGAAGACCTGGGAACTGGCCAGAAATGGGAGGGAACATGGGCTATAATAGCAGAGATAAAGAGGGAGAAGGGCAAATTCAAAAATCAGTATCTTACATGTCTATATGCAAAACCAAAAATCAGTATCTTACATGTCTATATATAAATGCAAGGAATATAGAAAATAAGCAGGAAGAACATGAAGTACTAATAAATAAACACAACTATTGCAGGAAGAACGAGAAGTACTAATAAATAAACACCACTATGACATAGTTGATACACAGAGACTTGGTGGGATAATATACACAATTGGAATATTGGTATAGAAGGGTACAGTTAGCTTAGGAAGGATAGGCAGAGGAAAAAGGGTTAGTTTAGGAAGGATAGGCAGAGGAAAAAGGGAGGAGGTGTTGCCTTATATATTGAAAATGTTTACACTTGGACTGAGGTTGAGATGGACATGGCAATGGAGAAGGCAGTCGTCTACAATGACCCTGTGATGGTGCGTCGGGGATCCCCCGACTCCTGCACCCCCGTAGCGGCACGAACAGACTCCACCAGCCAGTAGAATAGAGGGAGGTTATTGCTTCTTCAGGATACCGCACAGCATAGATGTAATCTGGTTACAGGACCAGGCCTAGGATGCCTCAGCCCCCCTTGAGATGGGGGAGACTGGGCCCCTAAATCCCAGCCCCCTAATTTAGGCTATTTCCTCCATGATTCCAGACAGAAACTAAAACTCTCTTCCAGCCCTGCCCCCCAGCCAGGTGCTGGTCTCCGCCTTCCTCTCTTTGTCTCTCCCCCTGGGAGGCTGAGCCTGGGTGTCTGGGTTAATACACATTTGGGAGAGTCAGTGAGAATCTCACATCACAGTCCAGGAGGACCCCGGGTCATAGAGCAGACAGCACCCCCACTATGCCACAGACCCATAAATCCCTTCTGCAGTACTCCTTCCTTGACAGTCACTTCCCCTTCTCTGTGTGTGAAACTGATTAGTCCTTCCTGAGTGGAGTACTTTGCATTTGTTCTTATTAAACTTCATCCTATTTACATCAGACCATTTCTCTAGTTTGTCCTGATCATTTTGATTTATGATCCTATCCTCCAAAGCATTTGCAACCCCTCCCAACTTGGTATCATCTGCAAACTTAATAAGCGTACTCTCTATGTTAATATCTAAATCATTGATTAAGATATTGAACAGAACCTGTACCAAAACAGACCCCTGTGTAACCCCTCTTGTTATATCCTTCCAGCATGATTCTGAACCATTAGTAACTACTCTCTGAGAACTGTTATCCAGCCAGTTATGCACCCACCTTATAGTAGCCCCATCTAGGTTATATTTCCCTAATTTACTGATAACAAGGTCATGTGAGACTATGTCAAATGCTTTACTAAAGTCTAGTTATACCATATCCATATCCACAAGACTTGTTATCCTATCAAAGAAAGCTATCAGATTGGTATGGCATGATTTCTTCTTTACAAATCCATGCAAGCTGTTACCTATCACCTTATTATCTTCCAGATATTTGCAGATGAATTCCTTAATTACTTGTTCCATTAACTGCCAGGGAAGATATCAGACTTGTAAATGAAATTAAGTTCTGCAGCTTCACTTTCAAACTGGTTTTTGGAATTGGCTTGCAATAATATGGTAACTTTAAGATTCAGTAATGAGTGCTCAGGCAGAAGCTGCAGAACTTAATTTCATTTACAAGTTTGATATCTCCAATACAGGTTTAAACAAAGACCTTAACTGGATTACCCACTACATTCCACATCATAATGTCATAAATAGCCAAGCACCAGATACTTAAGTGTACTTAGAAGCCAGCAGCAGCCTCCCTGTGCGGTTTCCCCACCCTCGGCTGCATAGAATCTGCCATTCACAAGTTTGCATCTCATGAGCACACTCTCACCCCATTCGGCCAGAGCCCTTCTCAGACCTTCCACTGACACCTCCGGCCAAGGCACAACATGGGTAAGAGGGTGCGGAAGTGCACTGAGACCTTGGCTGTGGGAAGAGCAGCACCATTGGTATGTCCCTGAACCTGCTTCGCATACGAGGGAGTGTGGAGAGGGGACAGTCTCTCACACAGGAGCCAGGATTACTGGGGCTGATACTCCCGATATTGGGGAGCAGGGAGCAATGAGGGACCTTGATCCAAACCCAACCTAGGTGCTCCAGAGCCCTCCCAGCTTCTGATACCCGAGAGGACAGGAATCCTTACCCAGCCAGCTCACAGCCTCATAATTCTCCCGCATCACATCCCAGTATAAGGCTCTCTGTCCCGGGTCCAGCAGAGCCCATTCTTCCTCAGAGAAATACACAGCCACCTCCTCGAAGGTCACCAGCTCCACCGCAGCCATTTCCTTTCCTTGGCTCTGCAGGCCACGGGCTGCGCTGGAGCAAGACATGCGTGTTTTGCAACCTGTAGGAGGGAGAAGTGCAATTGGAGACATTTCAGAAGGGGTTTTAATCCTTTCCACACCCCCACTCCTCCCAGACTCTGTCCCTCTTGACACATATGCTAAACCCAACCTTTAGCATGATTCCCAACCTTTTTCCCATGGAGGAACCCTAAAAGAATTTTTCATATCCCGAGGAACACCCACACCTACGAAAATGTTTGCTTGGCCAGAAAAAGTTGACAGCAGGGAGCGCAATTCAATTACTGCTAAATTATTGTCAAGAAAATGTATTTTGCGTGTGCGTGAGCTTACATTGTAAGAAATATATTTTTTATTTATTTATTCCATGATTTCTCATGGAACCCCTGACGATGGTCTGCACGGAACCCTGGCTGGGAAACGCTGTGCTAAACTTTGCCAGTCCAGTAAATGTATGAGTCTAGATATTACATCAGAGATCGGTAATAATTTTTGGTGGGGGGGGTCACTCCAAGATTTTGAAAAGTGGTCAAGGGCCGCATTTTGCTGCGGAAGGAGTGTGGGATCTAACATGGAGGTTGGGTGCAGAAGGGCGCATGGGGTAAGGGATTGGGGTGCAGGAGAGGGTGTGCGGTCTGAGAGGGAGTTTGGCTGAAGGATGGGGTTGTGGCCTGGGTCAGGGAGGAGGTAAGAGTGGAGGAGAGGATTCTGGCCTGGAGGAGGGATACAGGTGGGAATACAGGGGGAGGGAGG